TGGCTAAACCCCTAATTCAAAATTGTTATGTTGATATTAATATAAGCCAAGTTTAGTTTACATCATATAAAATGAATGTTCCCGCACATAGTGCGGGTGAGAATCTAGTAACTAATTTAATAATGATAACATGAACATACGGTTTATTGTAGTGATTTTGGAGGTTTTACAAGTGTTTATGGGCCTGTGCTCGAAGCCCAACTCTGTGTTTAAAGCCTTTTTCAAATTTTTTTTTTTTAATGAATGGCATAATTGTAAATTTAACTTCATCTTTTTCACCATTTTCATAGGACAAGTCTCTTCATCTTCTTCATTAAAAACCGGCCGACGAGAGGAAGACCGGCGCTTCCGCGCTACGTAGGCTAAGATCGGAGGGTTTTATATTCTTTGTTACAAAATAATCAACGAATCAGGCGTTGACACGTCACGGGCTCTTAAGTGTTCTTAAAACTCTTAATTAAGAGCCGGTTCAAATGCAACTAATTAATCTGTTTTTAATTATTTTTAATTTGTTTTAAGCTAAGAAACCCCTTTAAGATACACCGGTGGAGGTGGTTTAAGACGCTGCCTCATTCACCTAGGCCTAGAGCCGGCCCTGAATAGTACATGCATGCCGATGATAACCTCAATAAAATATGATGCTTTATTAAATAATTAATTCTCTAACAACGTTACGCTTATTTTTAACTTGTTAATAGAAAAATCATGTGTTCTTTAAATTGCAAAGAATAGTAAAGAAAACAACATTCCATTAGTTTCTAAAGAAAAACAAAAAAAACAACATTCCATTAATTAAGACGACATGACAAACAAAGAGACACATGGTAGAAACTATGTAACTTCGACAATAGAAACTTGACCCAAAAGATAAAAACCAGAAATATGAAATGAGAAAGAAAATGAGAAAGACAACAACAACTTTATTTGAAAGACAACAACTTTATTTGAAAGACACATGCAGTTTGCTCTTCGACGGTCACTTCATTAGGCATCGTCTACACCACTAGACTTGTTGCACTCTCCTGGATACCATTTTGTGGTCAACACGTCTTCATTTGAAGGTTCCCCGTTTAGGTTGAAGGGTAACCATTCATCCATATAGTAGACACTTCCACTTCCCATCCCAATTCAGACTCAACATTCGAAGGCCCCGGCGTCTCATCGCTCAGAGGAGATGGCTCGTTGACACTTCTCGGTTACAATGTTTCCTATAATCTAACTCTCTCCTCAAACTCACAATCTTGTTATTTGAATAAGTTATAAGTTTATCAACCTCGGTGTTAGTAAGATCATCAAGTGGACGACCTACTTGGAGTTGGAACATGAGATGATCCATCTCATACTCCATGATTACCTTCCGAGTTTCGGCTAGTTTCTTCTCAATCTTTTTGATGTTTTCATTGATGAAAGACTCTTGGTCCGTGGCCCTGACGTTCCTCTCATGTGGTTGTAATGAGAAGTATTTGTCGAAGAGAGACTTAGCCTCCACGTGAGACGGCCATGTCACCACCTTCTTATCATCAGGGCTGTAAAACATCAAACAAGCAGCCACATTACACAAAATGGTTAGTTCGTTGGCTTTTTTCATCAAGCCTTGCATCCTCTTCTTGTAAGCGGCTTGTCTAGCCTTTTTGTTCACGATCCAGGAAATCTTCACCCTTCCTCTCGCCATGGCCTCCTTCACTTGATATTTCTCACTCTTGGATTTGTGTTTACGTTTCTTTGTGAGTGAGAGTCCTGCAATTGTGGTCTTATATAAGAGTCGAGAGGTAAAGAGATAAGGGTGTTGCCACTAAAATTTCAATATATTTAAGGTAACTAGCCTATTTGACTACAATGAAACAAACCCTTAAAATATTATATAAGATATTGTCCAAATAAATGTTTGAACGAATTTGTTTGGTAACTTATTAAGAAAATTTAGGTTACTCTTTTTTTCAACTCCATACATATTCATTCTCATATTTCCATAATTAAGTTTTACATTTTGTATACACTGAGAACT